CCTTCTCCTGTTCCTAGTAAATTAGATCTGCGCGTGGAAACCTGCTTCCAAATATGGGTTGGGACAACTACCTCAGATTGTTACAGTGAAAATGATACCTTTAATTTGGACAGCTTTATCTGTTCCACAGATGTGTGTTTCTATGTCTTGGAAGAGAAGCAGTTTCATTGCCTTTAGCTAAGGTATGATTTGACAATTGGCACAGATCCCTCAGTCATTAACTCTGATCTTTAATCGCAACAAGATAAAACAAGTGAAGTTGGGTGAAACCATAAAGCAGTAGACCGCATCAGAGAGGAGTCAGCAGTAAACCTTCAAGATACAAAGATTTCAGACATGTTATAAACCACTTCTGAGTATTCTCTGCCTGGAAAACCCTGAAAAGGGTCGCCAGTAAGTCAGAATTGACTTGACAGCACAGGATGATGATTATTATATGATGTGTGGTTCTGACCAAAAAACAAAAAATGAAGTGAAATGAAATGAAACAACAGGCTTAATCCAGTGAGAACCATGATGCACACTGAAGGATGTATCAGGAATAGCACATGCCAAAAGTGCTGCTTGTATTTGATAGAGGTAGATCACTTTAAAGGGTAAAGATTTACCAGTTTGTCAACACAATGAGCAGTTGACCAGCATTCTTACAATGGAGCACTCTGACCAGCATCAGAATAGACACACGCATGTTCAGCCCTATTCTGCATGTCTCTGGAAACAAGGGCACTGCGTGTATGCTGTTCATGGCTGAATGCTGGGTCTCAGTAGAAGACCTTGCCTTCATGCCCTTATTCCACCAGAAAGGTGACTAGCAGGATGGAGGCAGTGCCCATCTAGGCAAAAGTCAGTCAAGATCATTTAGGCAAGGGCAGCTGATGGCAAGCATTTTCAGGGGCAACTGAAGAAATGGAGATTATAGCAGACAGGTGGTGAAAAAAGGGCACTGACAATTTGCAGTTTTTATTTAGCATTGTTGTGACTGTTTGGAGTGTTATTGAGTAGAATGTTATTTAGAGGGAGAGATTCTTGGAAAAAAAATACTGTTATGAGTTAATGGTCCAATACTCTGATCATACCAATCAGTTCTGGATGCAAGAATTGAGCTGCATATCCAGAATTTTCTTGCATGGAATAGCTTTTCCTTCATTTTTTTCTGGAAGGAAGTGAGCTCTACATACACTATCCAAGTTGGCAGATCACTCCTTTCTCCACTGAAATGAATGGGAATTAGTACCATACACAAGGAATTAATAGCTCTGTGCGAGGAGCCTAGCTTTCAGTTTTGTACATTCCAGTATCTTCTGTACAAGTATTCCGTGAAGAAAGATGAGCAGGAAGCAAGTCATTTGCAGTCCAAGATCTACCTCTCCTCCATTCTGTGCAGTGTTCAAACCTACTCAGTGTTAGCTTGACAACATAATGCAGATTTGGGGTTTGTTTGCATATGAAAACAGAAGAGGTTATATCCTGATGTGCCTACTGTTTATTTGAACCAATTCCAGACACCCAATAGTTCATTGTCTGCTGTGTTCCTTCACCACCTATTTACTGTTCCTTATGCAAAATTTTTTGTATGTTAAATTTCTACCACAAGATCTGAGAATACAGACTCTCTCAGTGTGATGTGCCATTATTCACTGACATAACATATATGCTGGTCAGACTGTATGATGAGGATATTCACCTTTAGCACCAGCCACTTTATACTGTGGAGCTTCATATGTACAGTTAGAACAAAATTCTTAATTCTTCTCGCCACTTGAGGAGCGTCATGGCACAGTGGTTAAACTGCAGTACTTCAGCACTCACAATCTGAATGCTATCCTGATGGGCTCAGATAGTCCGTTCAAGATTTAATCAACCTGCCATCTTTCTATCCAGCTCACAGAAAGGAGGGTCAATGTGTAGCCTGCACAATTAAATTGTAAACCATCCAGGGAATGCTTTAAGTACTATGGGGTGGTATATAAGGAGAACACATTAAAAGGCAGTATTGTGGCTGAAAAGAGCATTGTGAGAATAACACACGAAAATATGAGACCATTGGGTCCTGAAGTGGTTTTCAGCAATCAAGTTGAATCCCTTTGTATTGAGGGAAATGCAAAAGAAATTACTAAGGAACCAAGCAGGCAAAATACCAGTTTCTCTTGTTCTAGTCTCCTCATAAATGAAATTTGATGCTTCCAAGCTGAAGAACCCTCTGGCTAGGAAGGCTATTTAAATCATGTCTAATACTTGTTAGCTTCATCTCTAATATCTTCCCTTCATTCAAAATGCCAAAATTACACTGCTCAACTGACAGTGAAGCCATGTGAGATCTACATTAATATTTGTTTTATGATTTTATTGCAGAATTCCCAGAATTCAAAGCTTAGATGTTAGCCTATCACACCCTGTTCTGTACTTTTTTCATACTTAAATACATACTGGCTATAATCCTCCTGCATATATACAAAAATGGCATAACATTTGCAAGTGAATTGCCCCAAGAATTATCATACATATTATCTGTTGAATAATGAGCCACACAACTCATTACACAATTCCTTTGCCTCCAAAAGATACACCATTTGTGTTACACCAGTGTGAGCACATGAGAAAATTTGGGCCATTATTTTTCTTTGACAGCAAATATATCAGATAACTGTCCACAATCCTAAAGAAATTAATCATGTGCATTATGACTGTGCTAAATTTTAAAGAAAAACTGAGGTTTTCCAGAATGGGTGCTCATATTTTTAGAACGAAATCCCACTGCTTAGCACATTGATCTCTTTAAGACAAAACTGTGTGGAGAATAGCATCCATCCACTGAGGATGGTTGTGAAGGTGTCACTTTTTGTTGCTTAGCACATTCTCTTTAAGACAAACTGTGTGGAGAATAGCATCCATCCATTGAGGATGGTTGTGAAGGTGTCACTTTTTGACTTTTCAGGTTCAGCATGGGGATTAAAGAAGGGGCAACAGCCACAGGAATGTGAGAAGGTAGAGAAGATTTATGGATACCTATCGATAAAAGTAGCCAATGTTGGTCATACACCATTCCTTTGTCTAGATCCATCTTACCCTGTTGTCAGCCCTGTAGGAATCTGTGTTTGGGTTGTTACACTCCTGATACACCTATTCAGGAACTGGGTGGAAAGGAGGAAGAGGAAAGAAGGAGACATACTAGTTAAACTAGTGTTACCCATACTCTGTTTCCTCTTATGCTTGAAGCTTAGTGGAATTCGTATCCCCTCATTTGGAAATGCATACTTGTCATTCTAAAGATGACCCATGCCAGTGACCCAAATGATAGCAGAAAAGGGCAATGCAACAGTTTAATGATTAATACAATTATCTTCCCAGCTATTTCTGTCTCTCTTACAGGGCTAATTAGAGATAGAAGATCTCTATTGGATTATATAGTCGTGCCTCGCTTTACAATTGCCCCGTATAATGACGAATCCACTTAACGATGCCTTTTTTGCGATCGCAAAACGATGCTTCATATGGGCAAAATCCGTTGTGCAATGATCGGTTCCCTGCTTTGGGAACCGATTTTTTGCATTACGACAATCAGCGAACAGCTGATTGTCAGGTTCCAAAATGGCCGCTGGCTGAAGAAAATGGCCCCCCGCTGTTTTCTAGGACGGATTCCTCGCTAGACAGGCACCGAAAATGGCCGCCGTATGGAGGATCTTTGCTGGACTGTGAGTTTTTAGCCCATTGGAAAGCAATAACCAGGTTTTAATGCGTTTCAACGGGTTTTTTATTTTCGCTTTACGGTGTTTTCACTATACAGCAATTTCGCTGGAACGAATTAACATCGTTAAGTGAGGCACCACTGTATTTTAAAAATTCACCTAGCCCAGCCCTCTGTTTGTAGCAGTGTCTAGGCAGATGTCTCTTAGAAACATATTAGCAGAGCACCAAGGAAACAGCCTGATCTTCTGTCAGACTTCAGCACGGTGGTGTTCAGAAATACACTGCTTTTGGGAGTGGATTTAGCTAACAGTCACTGTCAGGCATACCATCTATTATTTCTAATACTCTGCAAGATGAATTTAAGCCAGTTGCTCTTGCTCTGCATTGTGTGATGATGTGCTGTAGCCCTGCTTCACACAGAGCGGCTTGGACATTTCTATTCTGTGGGGGGGAAACATATTTCAGAGGACAGCTGGTACTGTGCTTAATTCTTCCCCATTTCCAGTTCTTCCTATGCCATGTTTCCTCTGCATTGTTCTGTGTTTATTTTAAAGAACCACGTCTGGGAAAAAAACTGGTTGCAAAAATGGCACCCTTACACCTTACTGTGGCATGGAAGCCACCCGTGGATACAGAGAACACAGAAGATAAAGCTAGGAAACAGCAGCCCTCTTTCTATCATTGTAAGAGTTTCCATATATCAAGCACATATAATATTATTCCTTCGGACTGTGAAAACCTAATGCTGGCGATGGCTGCGATTTTGCAGCCCTTTGCTCTTCCTGAGAAACCAAGCAAAAAACTCTTCCTTTCCTTCTCATGGGGAGATTTTTCTGTGCACCCACAACCAAGCACTCCCATAGGATGCTTTGTGGTATTCTTTCTTTCACAGAAGACATACTAGTCTACACAAACATATTCCAGTTCCTGTGCAAAATAACATCTTCCTGAGTAACATTCCTTGGGAAAGGGTATTAAGCTGCACGGAATTTGGCATTTTCATACACAAAGGAAAAGGCAAAACATGGGAAAATGAGAAAAATAAGAACAGGGGTTTGTTTTCATAGGAAAGCAGAGAAATTTTGCTAATGTAAGGGAAAGTCTCAGTGAGGTCACAGAGAAAGTGAATGTTTTTTAGAAAGAATCTTTCCATGCCTGACATCAGCTACAACACAATCCGAAATAATTATTCAGGATATCTACTGTATATAATCTTTTCTGAAAACAAAGTAAAGTTTCTGTTGATTTATTTCCCATGACAATAAAACCTCCAAAATCTGGAAGTTTGCCAGCAATAATACACACAGCCCATATAAATTTTCAGTAGTTTTATTGAAAAATGCCTCTTTTGTTTCAGAAATAAATAATATAAGGCAGTGAAATTCACAATTTGCAGTTAAAATATAAAAGCAGCAATTCTATATCCATAGTCTTGCAAACAATTTCAAACTGCTTTTTTTCTGGTAACTACGAAACATTATATTCTGTGGGAAGGGGAATCATACTAAATATACAACACAAACATGCAATTCATCTCTGCAGGATTGACTGCAATTTGGCATAAATGTTAATGTTTCTAAAACAAGGAGATTTAAGCCATTATTTATTTATTTATTTTGAAACCCTGTATCCAGTTGATACAATGATGTCAGCTACATTATTTAAGATTTGTGGTTGTTAAAAGAGATGTATAAGAGCGGTATATGCCCTGCAAGGTATAAGCAGAGAGAAAAGAAAACTGACATGTGAAAACAAAGGTTTGCTTCATTAGACAATGCAGATTTGTAACATCACGGAGCTGCAGGTAAGAGAAAAGGGCAATGAAGCTCCACTGCTGAAGCCTCCAGCTTTGAGAAAACTGGTAGCAGCTATGAAGGGTTTTCTTTCTTCCTTTAAAAAAAATTACTTAAAGAGACTGTAGCCATGATAATTTTAATGCACTTGTTAGAAGTTCTATGCAGCCGCCGTAAGCTAAAGTACGTACAGTATTTTACAAGCATTTTGAGAGTAAGAATGAATTCTATTACATTTTATTGTTATTCCCACATAAGACTGGTACCCTTTGGAAGAAGCTACTGCTGCTTCTACATTGGAGAACAAATTAGGCATACCCAATCGGTTCTCTGCGTATCCATCCATGTGAGAATAGCAACAACAAAAACAACCAACCAGAAAGGCAAGGGAGAGGAAATAAGGGAGTAAAACAGCTTTATGGTTTTGTTTTTGCTTTCCTTGATAATGATCTTTTCCAGCGCATGTGGTCAGGGTATCCAGGTGAATGCATATCAGCTCCATAGTCCTCATATTCGTCATCTCTTCTCTCAGATTCCACTGGTACTATGTAGGGATCACTTTCAGGCTGATAAGGTCCACTTTCAGGTGCGTATGGCTCTGGTTGAAAATAGTTGTCCGATTGAACAGTATAGTTATCACATGTTTTTGAATCCACAGATTTTTTTTTTAAAAAAAAGCTTTTAAAAAATGTTCAGTGAAGATGGTATGGACGTAAATATTTATGGCTTTAACCATTAAGGGCATTAACCTGGAAGTGGGTTCCATCTTAAAAATGTCAACTAACTTCCAAGTGAACAATCCTAAGCTAGTGATTCTTGTGATATACACAAAGCTCTCTGTCTCAGAGAAGGGAACTAGGTGAGGCTGCCCTCAAGTTTGAAACAAACAGGGAAGTATTCTTATATGGGACCTCTTTGTGCACCCCAGGGAACATAGGATTATGGACAATGTATTTTTTCTCTCTGTGCTTGAGAAACAGTTGTGCTGCTTTTCAAAACAAAATGCAGTTCTCAACAAACAAATTTTAAGCAAAAATAATATTGCAGCATCTAAAACTTTAAATCATCAGCATGTTCACTCAGGAGCAAGTTACTCAGAGTTCAGAGGGTCATAATCCTGAGAGAGCAAGCAAGAACAGGATGACAGTTTAGTTACTTTTCCATTTTGCACAGTAGAACAATTCATCACTCACAATTATGTTCACTCTGTTGGAGGAGGGAGAACATTATTAAACAAAGGGAAAAAAGAAAACTTGTGTAAGGGGCAATGTCAGATATGTAAAGCCAAAAATAAAAATGATATTGACATTTGGCCACTTTTTGATAAAAAGGTGTTCAGACTTCAATCCTGCTAAAGTTAAAAATTAACTTTAAAATTATGCGGAACTGAGTTCTACTGAAAGAACTTAAATTGATCACAGCTACCTTTGTTCCATTCACTGATGAAACTGACTTAAAGCTAGTTCAGGACCTTTCAGTATTTAACTGAAAGATGATAAATGAATCTAGTAAATGTTTTGATCAAAAGGGAAAACCTCAGGCATGTAGCATTCATTTTATTTTCTAGGGTGTGGCCAACATTTACACAAAGGTGCTCCCTATGACAATATTGAGCAAATACTATTTTCAGGCAGTGTTCCTTTTCCCCCACCTCAAACTGTGCTATGGATGGTGCTGGAGGAACACCAAACACTGCAGGAAAACCAGAAGCAAAATGAATTATATTTTTGTGCATTTGTAAGAAGATTACATATACAAAAAAGCCCCACACCCTGAATCAGATGACATGATGGTGAAAATGATGGCGTCAAGCAACAGAAAGGAAGTTTTCTAGAAGTTTCAAAGAGGTTATGACAGCACACAGTAAAAGGTAGCAGCCACAGCAGCAGGCTTTAATGCAAAAGCAAGATGTAATGATGTCAACTAATTTTAGTGGACATGTTTCCATACAAATCATTTACAAGCCACAATTAGTTTACTATTTACATTATGTCATTGCTCTTTCACCAGGTTAAATGTATCATGATGTTACGTTCATCAGTTAGTACTGTAGTTTTATAATCCTCAATTGCCACTGAGGATTCTCGGGACCTCTTTTTGTTATTTATAGGTTTGGAAAAAAGGGGAAGGAAATGGAGGCAGAGTTTACCTCCCTTATTTTGACATATGAAATCCATCTTTGTCTTTCATTACATTCAAGAAGACTTGTTAGTAAGGACATTTTAAAAAAAACCTCCTCACATTAGGAGGCCAGCTCTGTTCATTATCTATGGTGAAATATTCATACTGATTCACTTCCTAATAAGCACGTGCGCAAACATCTCAGAAACAGGATTTTCACTGTATTCAAACTGTAAGCAGCACTGGTGACTTAGAAAATGTGTTAGCCGGAACCTGAAACAGGTCAAAGATGATGTTAGTTTTCAAGGTCGAACAGCTGTGCAAAATATTTTTTTCATTCATCTAAATCCATCTACGAGGGTTAAATTATATGTATATATCTATATATGTATACCAGGATGCTCTCTGCAAAGAAAGCACTGTAAAATATTTTCCCTTTTTAAAAAAAATCAGATTAATTCATTTTGTGCAAGTTCTGCATAATAATTATTAAATTTGTTCAACTCTTAACTCTACAAATTTGTGTGTACACATATATATATATTCATCTATACATGCACATTATGATAGTGGCAAACAACATAACAAACAGCAATACCATGTTTTATGTATTATAAGGTGCTACAGTGCACACAAACTGGTTAACAATACTGTGGAACATGTTTCTTAATAAAGGCTCTAGATTTAGGACATATAATTTTAAAAATGTTATTCCCAGTTTTTAACCAATTGGATACTCCAATGCCAATAGCTATCCAGCATTTTTGTTACTTGGCAGCCCACTGTTTGAAACTGTTTCTTCTATGCAGTGGCAAATTCAGTAATAAAATTACAGCTTATATGGAATTTAACTCAGCGCAAGTCATGTGATGGTGACTCCCCTCCCCCACTTCACCCCTGTGTGTCTGCACTGTATCACAGAATGACATTTGGTCTTGGAAAATTAGATTTTAGGTACTAATTTTGTATAGATAATCTCAACATTAATCAGAAGGACGCATGGAGGAATTGCAAACAACTGTGTTCTTTTTGTACTTTAGATGAGTGGTCAACCTTGTTCAGAAGAAGCAGTTTGTGGAGAGGAGGAGGAGAAGAAGAAGAAGGAGAAAATGGTCATTTAAATCCTAACAGCAAAATTAATATTCTCCTAACACTCTATGCATGGGAGACAAATGGCTACAAAATGTAATCAGTATTTCCTACTTAAAACAAAAACATATTTCAAATTGGAATGGTTCAACAAATATTGTAAATGCATTCTGAAAAGCAACTGACTGACTATTTCTAGATCTTACTCAGTTAGAAACAATAGACTATCAAGCAAATGGACTACTAGTTCGGTCTGAATTCATGTTATTTATACTTTTTCTAGAAGATCTCCTTCCACAGTAAATCAAACTGACAAGTATTTTAATAGGATATTCAATGATGTCTACATTCCCCATAACCTACCTGGATAGCCTTGTCCATTGTAACCAACACTAGCACACTGGGATGAATCACAGTATCCAGCGGGGCCAGGAGGACCTCTGATACCCGCATTACCAGGACGGCCAGGTGGCCCAGGTGGCCCCCTTGAGCCAGTAGAACCTGGGGGGCCAACTCTGGATTCCCCTTGTGGACCTAATTTTAGGGAATAAAATTGATGACAACATATCCATATAATTGGCAGTCTGATAAAGTGGCTAGCAAAACTAAGGTCGACTATTATTTACTTTGTTTTATTTATATGCCAACTTTCTCCCCATAAAGGGATCCATGGCAGCTCAGAATTAAAAACACAGCATATGAAACATAAAAAAAACCAATTAAATTACAGTACATGCTAGTTAAAATACAATTGATTAATTAATAGCAAATAAACATTAAAAACTATCAATGAAACAACTACAGGGGACCAAATATGTAACTCATCATTAGTTCCTTCCTAAATTTTAACATCTTTGTTCACAGAAAACTGCTTTGGCAAGATTTGACCCTGGTGGTTTATATCCATTCTGTGTAAGGTACTGGATCTCAAGGGGAACTAAGTTACAAAAGTATACTAGATCTCAATTAAAGTGTAGGGCTGCCACCACCCTTAAAAATGGATGAACAAATAATACTCTTGGCTAACAGAAATGCACAGCCTAAGCAAGTGAAGTTAAAATTTGCTGCAAGTTTCTTAGGGATTTTGCAAAGGAAAAGAAAGTGTTTTAGCTAGTAAATTAAAAGCAGAAGCAACAAGTGCCTGATTACTTCTGCCAAGACATTCAAAGATGATTAAACTGTGCAAAAAAAGAAAAAGAAACTCTGAAGGTTTTACACTCGGTCCACTACATGCTATGGATCAATTGACAATGTAACAGGAGTGGAGAGAGAAATAGAGGACTACAAGCAAATTTTAATTCTAACTTCAGACATTTTTATTCACCATTATAATAATCTTAAAACTGCAAAGCTAGAAGAGGCTCTGTGGATTCTCAAGTCGAGCCCCAAACAGGGAGTCACAGTGGGGAAGTGAACTTCCAACCTTTGGCCACTAAACCAGGGAGCTATCCAGCAGGTCATAAAAATAATCTTAGAACAGCAGAGCTGGAAGGGATCCTATGGATTCATCAAGTCCAGTCCCTGTAGTTGCATCATAAAGAAACGTGCCAGCATGAAAACATTAAAAGACCTATTAATCTTGTTTTCTAGCATATGCTGTATTTTTAAAATTATCACTCTGTAAAATTATGTATATCAGATATAGAAAATTCACCTGGTGGTCCAGGCAAGCCTCGTGGCCCTGGTGATCCTGTTCCTCTTTCACCTTTCTCTCCTGGTAACCCTAAAACACATAAAAAAGGAATGGAAAGTCATGTCCGGAGAAAAAGTTCATGCTTGTAAAATAATCTAAATGGAGGCCTTTTATGCTACCACTGCCTCATCCAAGGAGCTATGTTAACGATGCTCTTAAACCACATATGAACTGTAAGGAAACAATTGCTGCATTTCATAACAACCCAACTGTGATGATAGTTTTCAGACAAGCAGCAAAGACAGAATGCAAAATACAAGTACACAGGAAAACACACACACACACATATACCCTGCAAAAGTATTGTGGCACCTTTGAGACTAGCAAACTTATTCCAGTGTGAAATCTCTGAAGAAGTAGAGTGGAATCCACAGAAGTTCACATAGAAATGTTATGTGCTAATCTCAAAGTTGCCCTGTACACTTTTGTTTCTGTTGCCTCTTGTGACACTGAAACACAAATGTTTTTTTAAGAGGGGAAAATATGTAGAACCCACCTCTTTCGCCAGGTGGCCCTTGCATCCCGGGTGTTCCTGGGAAACCTGGCCTGCCTCCAGCTCCCGGTTCTCCTGCTGCCCCAGCAGGTCCAGGGGGACCTGGTGGTCCTGGTGGTCCAGGCTGGTTGCGGTTTGAATAGTAATCATTTGGAATTTGATTCAGCATTTGGTTAAAGCGAGACATTTGGCCTTTGAGGAAGTAAAACAGGTTAAATTATCATGTTATGAGCTGCCCAGAGTAGCCTTGTAGCCAGACGGGTGGTATAGAAATGTATTCTATACCATGTTTAATTAAAATTAAAACATGCCCAACACCATTTTATTTAATCCAAACAAAATCCTGTTTCCAAGCCTCAGAAAACTGGAAGACAATTACTGGTTAATTTGATACATGGTCCTAGATTAAGAGAAGTGAGATATACTCAGAATGAAAAGGAGGAAGGGCAGTTGTGCCAGCGGGTGTTGGAGTTAAAACCAGTACAACCTATCCATGCTAAAATAGCATTCATTTTATCAATGCAATCATATTTAAGAGTGTGAAACACAACACAACAATGATTCCTATTTGGAAGCACCTTACAAGGGCAATCCAGTAAATGGGAGACCTGTGTTTGCAACTCCAACAATCCTATTCAGCTTCCTTTCTCTACTTAGACTTTGCATTTCTTGTCTGGATAGAGTGGGAAGGGCTGGGTGGTGATAATGCATACCTGTCCTTCTTCACCATGGCTTGGTGCAATAAATGTCTTTAAGCACACACCACAGGGGAGAGAGGAAGACAAAAGAGTAGTGGACTAGATCCAAATCCCTAGCCTTCATTTGTTTTAACTGCTACTGCTACTGAAGACCACCTACGACAAATCTCAGATGGAGGAAGGAAGCAAACATAGCCAGGATTTGCGATCATTACTACTACCTTGGAGATAACCAAACGTCAGTAGTGGAGACAACAGGGCAACCACAGTCTACCACTTAAAAAGCACAAGTGATGGCAGTAGAAAGAGGGGCCAAACCTAACCCCGGTTAGGCATTACCACAGAAAGTCATCAATTGCCAGCAGCACAGAGAGGACCAAATTCCAACTCCTTTTTCCTGGGTGTAACCTTTCTTGAATGTCAACTGCCAGCAATGGAAAATGGACCAAGACCATTTCTTCAGTTTCCCTTCAAGAACTATTTTCCATATGACGACTTGTTTGGAACTGATCACAGTTTGAAATGGTAATTAGTAAAAATTAATCACACTATTACTGTGATTAAATGCACTGCATGAAATTCATTGCAAGGTGAGAAAAGTAATGCCTTCTACTACTTATTAGAAACACATTACAGTGGTGCCTCGCAAGACGATGTTAATTCGTTCCATGAAAAATGCTGTCTTGCAAAACGCAGTTCCCCACTGGAATGCACTGAAATCGATATGATGCATTGCAATGGAAAAATTGCTGTCTTGTGAAAATCGTCCATAGAAAACATCGTCTTGCAGAATGGGGTTCCCCATTGGAATGCACTGAAATCCATTTAATGCATTCCAATGGGAAAAAATAGTTGTCTTGCGAAAATTGTCCATAGGAAACCATCGTCTTGCGAAGCGCAACAGCGATCACAAAAACTAATCATCTTGCGGATTAATCATCCCACGAGACAATCATCTAGTGAGGCACCACTTGTACATCAGTTGTTTGGGGATGCAGGGGAGTCTATTCTTTAACTTTTAAAGCAGGCTCATTCCTTGCAGATCAGCCCTGGACACTGCTGCCTGCCTTCTCTTGAAAGCAGCTGTCACCAGGGCAACATGACGCTCAGTTACACTTCCTGCAAAGTACCAGGGCCACTGTGTTGCTAACTATTGAGGGGTTTCTGCTTTCTCTTCTCACGATTCTTTATTTTTAAACAGGGCATGGACAAGACAGTGCTTGAAATTAAGGATGGGTGCATTGTGCTTCATACGAACACATCTCCCTCCCACTCCTGGCTGTCCAGGCCACTCACTGTTCTTCATGTGCCGATGGGGTTCTTCTTCTCCGATGATGCTCCAATCCAGGCAGGAGCCCAGGAGACCCTTCCCAGTCATCAGCTGCCATGGGAGACTCCTTGTCCCTCCTCCTTTTCAGAGCAGTTTGGTGCCTGAAGAAGCAGGGAAGGGCTGGTTGGGCTCCTGCCCAGACTGGAACACTGCCAGAGAAGAAGGACTCTGGCAGCATCTGAAGAAGGGTGAGTGGCCTGGCTGGCAGAGGTGGGGTGGGAGATGGGCCAGGTGCCATGTTTCGTGCTTTGTATGAAGCAAAAAACACCCACCATATCTATTTGAAATAGAAAATGCCTTTTAAAAATTGTGTTCTCTACCCAAGGATACATGGGCATCCCATGAGTGGCCCACACTATTGGCTTTATCCACCACTCTACACACTGCCTAGCTTAACACTCAAGCCACATTTCTGTTTTTCACAATTTACAAGAAAGCTAGATAATACGCTGTTGTGTTTATGAAGCATTTTTTTACCATTTATCATTTGTTCACAGACTTGTCTTGCAACAGCTCTCATCATGTTCTGCGAAGCAATATCTCCCTTAACAAATGGAACAGGACACGTATTAGTATTCGACAGTACTCCTTTTGAAAAAGTATCAATTAATGTTAGAAAGTGTGGACAAATTCGTTTACAGGCTGCACTTACTCGGTCACCTTTATCACCTTTCGGTCCAGTTGGGCCCTAAAATAAATTGAAGCCAGTAAGAGTATATCACAAATAATATTGTATCATACAAGTAAATGAAAGAGAAAAAATAGTCAAACTCATTCATGTGGTATATGGTACAAGATGTACTACTTGTCTTGACTTGAACTAGGAACCTTATAAAGCTTAAACACGGGCCTCAGCTATGCATGCAGAAAAATGAGGTGGTAAAATTTTAACATGGAAGACTAGGATGTTCTACTTCATACAGAGGGTTGGGGTGCTAGGTTTGAACACACCCATATGTAAAAATGATACAATGAACTCAAGCAAAATAGTGATATAAATGGAAAAGTTCTAGCCTGGTTTAATTCTCGTTGTGCTAGTTTCCTACTTACAAAATATTTTTATGAAAAAGAAAATTATAAATGATGACACCTTCCTCTGTAGTCTGAAGTGGTACATTTCACTCTGTTACCTCAGCATTACATTGGGTCTGTGTGACAATATTTAAACACAGATGTTTACTCTGGTGCCAAGTGAAAACTTGGTTGTTATAGCACAGACATTTGGCAACTGATTCTGGTATGTTTTCTAATCCTTCAGTTTGTTGGCTTTTATTTTCTTTGAATTGTTACATTGTTTGAAACAGTTCTGAAATGTTTTAAACTCTTTTGAAGCACTTGAATTGTTTTAGATTATTTTAATTTGATTTTCAGTGATGGCACCCTGCTCAAAGATCTGTCAGTATATGATGTGTTGGAAACACTTAAACAAATAAACAACCTAGGCTTACATCCTATGTAGCAAATAGCTAGTTTATACGAACATGCCTCAGAGCCTTCTTCTTAGGTGGAAAAGGAACAGGAATATCTAACATCAAATCCTGTAACTGGTGGCCACTGTGAAAACTTTGGATTGTCAAGGATTAACATACATATTAAGGTGTATAAAAACATGACCAAGGGACGGTGGCCTTAGCTTCTGTACCTTATGGGTCCATGGCTCCTAAGCTGCAACTTAATCAGCAAAACATTGTGTTTAGAATATACTGGACAGCACAATGCCTTTTTAAGTGAAGGTCAGAGTAAATCTTTAACTGGTAGCATTGCAACCCATCTGATGTATGTCTTAAGCATACGTACAAGTCATATCCAGTCAGGGGTTCTTTGCGGGTGGGAGGTGTTGTTTGTATTAATCTCATACTAGAACATTCTCTGACTTTTGTTAATGCTTATGTGCTTTCAGACTCTTTTCCCTTTCTCTGGAGGCTAACTACTGGCCAATGAAAAGAGAGGACAGTTGAATCTAGGAAGAAGTGGGACCCCACATAAGTATACCAATGGATTTTGTATAAAAACCTGAGGACAACTTCTTTTTGTATGCTTTTTACACTGCAACCCCTCTTTTTAGTTATAAAATATTTTGTGACAACTAAGCCTCCACAGGTATGTTTAGATAGCGGACAATTAGCCATGCTGAAATTCCAATGGGGTTCAGACGCAAGAAATGCTGTTCATTAGGAATCAAGAGCCTCGTGGCGCAGTGGTTAAACCGCTGCACTGCAGCCAAAACTGTGCTCACGACCTGGGCTTCAATCCCAGGTAGCCGGCTCAAGGTTGACTCAGCCTTCTATCCTTCGGAGGTCTGTAAAATGAGTACCCAGGTAGCTGGGGGGGGGGCAATGTGTAGCCTGCATAATTAACTTGTAAACCACCCAGAGAGTGCTTGAAGCAGTATATAAGCAGCACGGTTTGTTTTTGCTTTGCTTTTTACACTGGGTGAGTCCATTGGCACATCCATCTCATTAGCAACTGGCGGTGCTCAGGTAGCATTTCGCAATGGTGTTTCCCAGCCCTTTCTAGAGATGCTGGAGGTTGATCTTGGGATAGTTTGTATTGAAAGCCATAAACCAGAATACATAGCCCTCCCTTGGTGAGCTCTGAATTTGATCAGAGCACAAGCCAGGATAGAATTAATACAGGAATGGACTGCTTCTGGGGCTGGATTACAAAAGACATCAAACTATGAATACAAACATGTTTGTATTCATCGAGGGAACGATTTGATGAGCAAGTGTCCTTCAGTCTACAAGAGAGGGAAACCCTACACATCTGAGACTGGATTCAAGTTTAACCCTAAAGATGACCAATCTATTAAAACGGACCTATGGAAACAAATATTGATGGAATTGGACCAATTACTACTAAGTAACTGGAAAATCTTCACTTGTAATACAGTCATTTGATATCTGGGACATAATGCTACAACAAGAAAAATGTTGAGATGAAACAATATCTACTCTTCAAACAATTTTAGAAATAGTGAGATCCCACAACGACGAGGCAAAATTATTCAATGAGCAGTTAAAGAAAGATTATAGTCAACAGGAGATAGGGAAGTAACAAACAAGGAAATGAGAGGGTGGTGGATGATGTATGCCAATCAAGGGAGGGGCTGGAGGGGATCAGAGGACAAAATTTAGGAGATCTAATTCTAGCCCTGGAGCCAAGGAGAATCTTAGGTGTGCTAAGGGAAGATAAGGGGAGGGAACCGGCAAATTTAATGTAAAAAAACTAGCCTGGAAGATCTATTGGAGATCGATCAAGTGCAAAAAATGACTACATATAGTACAAGAGATGGCAAAATTTTTAGAGAAATAGGAATAAGAATTGGGAAAAGACAAATAAGAGGAGGAGTTACTTAGAAAGATGAAAAGGTAAAAATATTAAGGTTGCCTTCAACATTGAAAACATGTATACACCTAACTTCTGGGATTGTAAGGGTACATATCTTATATATTAAAAAGGGAATCCAATTTAAATAAGGGATCATTAATCAGGGTTAAGGCATAACAAGGTGGTTCTTAAGATAAATTGAAGCTAGATATAAGAAATGATATTTATATAGACATGACAGAAAATGTGGAGATAGAAATGGCTAAACAATTATATTTAAAAAATCTATCTAAAATGCTTTAAATAACATTTATTATGTGTTAGGAGCCTATTTAGCTATTATTGGTATAAAACACAAAGTTGGTCAGTTAAATTGCCTCAAATTATACATATTTGAAACCAGAATTGTTTCTATTAGGTACTTTATTAGAGGATTTTTAGAATATATACTGTGAGAGCAATATTATGATAGTAGCCAATATTGTACACTAATAAATATATATTTATGATTGGTTCAATGTTTAAAAAATGTAAAGATTTTGAAGGGACAACCAAGAAGACACCAAGATGCAAAAATAAATAATTATAAGCAACCCATGTGAAATGATGTTTAACAGGAATGAACTGAATGCAGATAGATTAAAAAACTAATAAAATGTTATTTTAACTTTTTTTGAAAAATGCAACGCTAAAGAAGAAGTCAGGATTAACCTTTCAAAATGACTCTGAACACTTGTGCAGTTAGATGTACTTAGCACTATGGAAACTCTCAACAAAAAACCCAACAACATTCTTCTGGAAATACGCACATGCAAACCAGACAGTAAAGGGAAGTCTGCATGCACAACTTTCACATGTTTTGAGAATTCAGTCTTGCTGTTTACATTCCTTTGTTAGCAAAAGGAAGAGCCAAGAAATCTCCTGACAGTCTTCCTTGAGAAATGTAATTGGTACAGTTAAGCTGCATACTACACATTTTTCAAAACTACGCAGTAATGATCACACATGGACATATTTACTCTCATTATGAAACCAGGTATTGCTGTTTTGTCTGTCAACAAGATGGCATTTCCCATTTTAAACCATCCAAAGAGACATATAATCGTTTGAACTATTGGATCATTATCAGAAAAACATTAACTGCCCAAATGAAGTGGCCAGGCTTTGTCACATTTGAATAGCGTCTCTTTAACAAGTATCTATTCTAGAGAGAGGTGTTGGATGCTGAACAACACCATTCACCCACAATTATGTTTTCTACTTTTTCATGTAATACAGTCACAACAATATGGCTTGGCCCAGTGTGCTCAGATTGAAATTAACTTAGCACAAATGCCATGTTGTCTTTCAATTCTTGCAGAGTGCGGGTGGCATACAAGTCGAATAAATAAATAACTAAATTCCTTTCCTACTGCTTCCTATCTGGCCTCCAAATCTGGACAATGTTTTTTTAAAGAAGAAAATAAAAAATAAAACAGTGATTATTCTGTGATTTGTGGGGCTTAGATAAAATGCTATAAAGCCAAATGGCAAATCTTTTGTCATTGTTTCATCATGCTTAATTCCCCCCCCCTTTTTTTTGTCAGTACAACATAACCAATCACTAAATCTGGAATGAGCAGTTTTTCTCAAAAGTTCTCAGTGTACCCTCATAGTACTCTGGTGATGTACTATGATAAACAATGCTGTTGGGCAGGGATAGAACAGAGTTGGATATAATTAAATTGAATGGTGGGGTTTCTACAATCTTGCAATGGGATCATGAACATTTAATTTAAGGAAATTAAGCAGTTACGCTAGGGATAACTTTGGACACAGAACTCAGCAGGGTCACTCTGACCCAAAGATGGAGTGAAACATCCAGGAGTCTGTTTACATATGTCTCAGGGAGCACATCTGCCTTGTTTCCATAGTTCTTTGTCACTATCCAGATGACCATAATACAACATCAACAATTCTTATTTAATTCTGGGGAACAACAAAGATCTAACAAAAGATTCACAGAGAGTCAGATTACTACATGCAGCTATTATGTGAACAATGCTGCTTTGGCACAGCTACAAGAAAAGCTTGGATGACCTTTAGAACTCAGTAGGCCACATTCGGCCCACGAATGGCAAGTATGAGCTTGTGTTGTCACTCTGGCAATCCTGAGAGCTAAACTAGAGGTGCCGAAATCCCATATTCCTCATGAGTCTGACACAACATCTGCACAGACACATATCCAGAGTCCCTTCTGGAATCTGCTTAGAAAACTTGGTAAACAGCAAATGTGATGTCAGGCAGGTAGGAAAGTGGGACAAATTATAATACACATGTTAAATCAATTCACCTTAAGAAAAAATAGAACAACAACAATAAAAGCGAAGTGTGTTGCTTATATACGGCCCCCTAGCACTTAACACTCTCTTGGTGGTTTACAATTTTAATTATGCAGGCTACATACTGCCGCCACCACCACCCCCAAGAACTGGGTACTCAATTGACCTCAGAGGGAAGGAAGGCTAAGTGAAACTCAATCTGGTTACCTAAGATTGAACCAGGTGAGCAGATTTTTGGCTGCAGTACTGCAGTTTAACCACTGCACCAAACAGATCATATAACATTAAGCCTTGGTGCAAAATTTAAATATAGTTAAGTATATAACTAGCCTCTAAGCTGCTGTTCCCAAATTTTACTGGCCTTTATTCCTTTGTCTTCAAGTGCAGGCATTCACAAAGAAGAAAATATTTTCTTTGCATGAAAAGATTTATCCCCAGTGAAACTATACACTGAAGCAGATTGCCCCCTTTCTTTAACCATTTAACAGCACTACTCTATATTATTTCTGCAATAGTGCCCATGAGAAATCCTAACTTCTTTCTTATTCTTAGCAGAGGGACCAGTCTATGGAAAGTTTTGTTATGATCCAGACCTACTGAAATCAATGGGACAAAGTTAAACTAGTCGAGGAAGCCCATGAGTGGAGGATTTATATGCAAAGCTAACAGTGGTACAAAAGAGTGTCACAGTCTGAGGTGACTCATCAAAGGCTGCATAGTAAATGGTTAGAAGGAACAGTATAGTAATTCCCCCTTCTGTCTTCTCTTCAAGGCTACTCTCCATTTCCTCCTGAATACTAGTAAAAGCAAGCAGAGAACTTGCTTTGCCCCATGCTGGCAGGTATAGTAGTTGTGAAGGTTGCATCCTTTAGCTTAAAGCCAGGGCTGGGCTAGCATCCAACCACTAGTAAAATTACATTCTCTCTCTCTCTCTCTCTCTCTCTCCCCCTTGTTAAAGGTCTCTGCAGCTGAAAACCTGCTCTATACATTGCCAAACGTCCAGAGGATTTTGAGGGTCCACAGTGTGTTGTGCACGTGGGCAAGGATGGGTGGGAATCACACCCTTCCCAGTGCTCCAGATAGAAGCTGTTCTGCCAATGAAGCCCATTATTGCATCCTGGCCTTTCATTCTTCATATTTTCCCACAGCAGTCTTGGCTCAGACAGACTGCATGGCTCTAGTAGCTACATGTAGGACAAACTCCTGCCCCTTTCTCTACTCTAAGCTGGTTTTAGATATAAAACTTTAAGCAGAACCCACAATGAAACACTGATGCTGTCCTGTTAACGTTCAAGTACTTTCAACGCAACAGCTCTCAGAATGCGACCTACCACAAAAATTCAACTTTAAGCAGCATAGTATATTCAGCCATCCTTTAAAAAAACTAATTATAATTCCAGTAATTCTGCTGATTTAGCTCTGGATGTTTATATAGTGCAGAAATATAAGCTTTGGAATGTGCCCCTTTTTTATTTTCATGGAAACCCTAGTACCACAATTTCCAGATACAAGTCCTAAATAGCAAAAAAAAAAATTAAAATTAAAATAAAAATAAAAGATGCACTGCTAAGAGTGAAAATATTTAAACTTAGACTTGGGATTTTTGCTTTGAGATATTAACTGGTTGTCATGATAGTCACTGCATGAGGTGATCCTGAGAAAGGTCTCCTAGTTGTCTAAACAATTAAGGGTATATTTCACAACAGATGCAGAGACAACATGCAAAAGCTAGATGCAGATTGTCTTACCTGTAACCCACGATCTCCTGGCTTCCCTGGCTTTCCCGTTGGACCGGCTACTCCAGGCACTCCAGGGGCACCCTGCAAAGAGGTCCATTGAAAAGAAAAGCTAAGAAGGAACATAACCCCATCCCGAAATGCCTCTTAGATCATATGCTAAGACCCACCATCATCACCACAATGGGCAACTTCCACATATTCACAAGCTGACTTTGCAACACATTCCACATTCCTAAAAGCTCACCCAGGGCCCTATAAACATGCAATGTGAGGGATATCGGACTGCTGGGAAATAAAATGCTGCTGGTTTTATTCCATTAAATCCATTTGGTGAAATGCCCAGCAGATGGAGGGGATATATATGAATTCCCCCCCCCACACACACACTTTTCTATTTCCATGTACTCACATTCTTAGACACTTTGCAACATGTAGCATAAACTTCTCAGTTTTCTCTTTTATGCCCTATGGAACCAAAGTATCGGGCTTTGATAATATGCCCAATGAATATCTTATATGTTTTCTGTTCTTTCTCTCCAATACGTTGGAGGAGCCACTGCACCTTGCTTTAAAGGGGAATTGGTTCTCATTGGGGTTTTTTGGCTGGCTTGTGTTTCTCCAAATTATTTTATTTATTTGAGGATCACTTGGGAAGATTGAGGTCTGCATGAATGGGCTAGAACTGTGAGTCACATAACTCCCCACCCTGACCTAGGGAAAGCAACATTCATGTAATCATATTTTAAATAAATAATAATTATTGCAAAGGGGGCAGACCGTTTTTCCCCAGTTCAAAAACTACAAGTTCCTCAACTACATGCTCCTCCGATAGCAACATTTCTATATATAGAAATATATATATATTAAGACCTCTTAAGGCCTTCATCTTCCTAATCACCTTAAAGGGCATAGCTTTCATAAGAAAATGTTCAAGCCTCATAAAACAAAGAGAAACTTCTGGTATTCCTAAAGCTTTGCTGTACTCAGAATGATTTCCTCTTGACCATTTTCCAGTGAAACAAACATGTGCAGACCACATTAACTGCAGCCAGATCTGGGGTGAGTGGGTAGGGGGAACAACCCTTCATTTTGACCATCTGTAGTCATCAAAGCTTCTCTTTTTTACAACTCACAATGCAGTGTTTACAGGAATGGAGCTTTCCATTTCATGTGAAAAGTAAACGGGTTGCACATTTCGCTGAGTGATGTAACAAGACTGGATAGGCAACCATTATATAATAAGCAAAGTACAGTCAAACAAGTGAGATCTGCAACAAAAGGTTGCAATGTAGAATTCTCTTTATGCAGGGTTCCAGCCTACAAAGCATGTGAGCCAGGCCCATTTTCACAATACTCCATTACATTCCCCTCCATGCTGCTGCTTCATGTGGTCCACATGAGGAATTGGCCAGCCACCATTACAAGACCATGAAACAGGCTTGGGTCCCACTGGGCTACTTTGGGTCCCCCTCGTCCACATTTTCAAAAGCTTTTTTTGTATTTTGGCAAATCTTGAGGTTCTCCATACCTCCCTCCTATGGAAGATGATAGGTATTTTTGCTCTATATGATGCCTCGCTTAACGATTGCCCCACATTACGATGAATCCGCTTTATGACGATCTTTTTGCGATCACAATTGCAATCACAAAAAAATGGTCTAAATGGGGGAATTTCGCTTAGCGATAATCGGTTCCCTGCTTCGGGAACCGATTTTTGCTTTATGGCGCTCAAAAACAGCTGATCGTCGGGGTTTCAAAATGGCCACCAGGTGCTTAAAATGGCTCCCTGCTGTGTTTTAGGACAGATTCCACGCTATAAGGCAGCGAAAATAGCCGCCGTATGGAGGATCTTCGCTGGACGGTGAGTTTTTACCCCATTGGAACGCATTGAACGGGTTTCAATGTGTTTCAATTGGGTTTTTAATTTCGTTTTATGATCTTTTCGCTTAACTGCGATTTTCCTGGAACGGATTATCATTGTTAAGTGAGGCACCACTGTATAAGGAGGATTGAGATCACATTATAGGTGTACAACTTAATCTCCCTGAGCTGTCATGTGCTGACACACAAAAAAGTACTTTTTGATACAAAACTGATGTGCTGGACATATCCAAGCCTACCCACTTCCCAAGTTTTCCCTTCAAGAATTAAGCTCATACTTACGACTGGTCCAGGGGGTCCTCTTGGTCCTGCCGGGCCATCTTTTCCAGAAAAGCCCTATTTGAAAAATGAATATTTATAGATAATGATTTCTGGTTTTTAAAGACAAGCTAATGGTTTAGCTAATTAGCTTTAAGCTAATCACCCTTAACATTTAATAATGATTTTAGCATTGTTTTAATCCCATATGCTAATCTGGAGCTGCAGAAGTTATTGGTTACACATTTACTACAACTACTTGTCCTTTAAGTAAGCTGCCTAGAGTGGTCGTTCGACTAGATAGACGGGGTATAAATGCAACAAACAAACATACATACATACAAATAAATATACTAAGATTAAGAATTCCTGCTGGATACCAAGGTTCTTAAATGGAACCCATGAAATATCCAGGAATTTGCTGTCCTCTCTACACCTGGATAAAGACCAAAGAGCTCCATTAGGCCTAAAAGGTATTTCTATCACTTTTTTTCCATCTCCAAGGCTTTGTGTAAATGCAACAAACAAACAAACAAATATACAAATAAATATACTAAGATTAAGAATTCCTGCTGGATACCAAGGTTCTTAAATGGAACCCATGAAATATCCAGGAATTTGCTGTCCTCTCTACACCTGGATAAAGACCAAAGAGCTCCATTAGGCCTAAAAGGTATTTCTATCACTTTTTTTCCATCTCCAAGGCTTTGTGTGAGTATATATATAATCTACATAATTCCACCCATAATTCCATCATCATCAATCACCCTCCTAATGTGTTGGAACTATATCTCATTTCATCTTTCCAGCCACGCTGGAAGACTGAGTCTTCCACATCAAGGAAGTCTGGTAGAGATGCTGCCAAAATCAGCACTAGTCCAAGAATGGGAAGCACCCGTATTTGGCTAATCAAGAAAGTAGGCTATAACTGGTTGTGAATTCACAAAGATACAATTTAATCAATAACAAGAGAATAATTTATAAACAAGCACTCCACTTCTTTTTATTCAGAAATTTTAGTGCCCCATTGTGTTCTTTTAGGGGACCACAAGGATCCTCCATTTGAACAGTAGCTTTCCTGCAATGGTTTATGGAAAGCTTCACTGTAAACATGGAGTCATCAATCATAACTAGTCTTCAGTGTTTAGGTGATGAAGGAAATATTTAAAATAGCAAATTCCCACTCCACCTATTCTGGTCCCCACCCCACCCCCCTTTCTTGAAGGTTTGGTAGGCTCTCTCCATTCATTCCTCCTGATCCTATAACTTCTCAGGCCACACTCAACAAACTTCACTTAGTGCTATTACCACAATTTCGCTCTACCTTTAACAAATCACTGATGAATATCACTTCCATGTAGGAAAAGTCTGTTAAGATTGTTTGTATACTGTCAGAGATACCAGGGAAACTGACACGTTTATTCTATTGTGTCTACATGAAACAGGAACACACTTCTAACCAAAGGGACCTCTTTATGAACCCTTTCCCAACATGCTCTCCATACTCAGAAATAAAACTGGACTACTCCAAATAGGGAATGTTCATGTTCTCTTTCTCTGACTGTTGTCTTAGTTGCTGAGGCTGGCTACATATATCCACCTATCTCCTAATGTGTGAATGAGCTGCTCTTTATTCAGGTCCAGCCAGTCTCTAATATTACTCATCCAAGAAATATACCTTTTACCTTTTCCATGTTTATCCTCAATCTTCCCTTCAATTATATATTGCAGTATATTATACCTGTCATGGCAAACAATGTGTCCAAGGTATAAGAGCTTGCATTACTTAATCAACTCTATTTCTTTTTTTATTTGATGACACTACTTTTTGTTTTCCTACATTTTCATGTAGGCAGCTGAAAACAGGACAATTCCATATAGGCAGAGGTGAAACTCAATCCTTTCACCATAGCCGTAAAGCCACTGGACTCCTCTAGCAAAGAATATGCACTTACCCTGTCACCTGGAGGTCCCATTGGACCAGGGGGGCCTGTTAAGCCTGGGGATCCCTAAGAAGAAAAGAAAAACAATCATAGAGGATTATTGACTGGTTCAAATAAAAGTTTTAAGGCATCAGTTACATTCATCCGTATTCTAAACATTCAAGATTGTTTTTTGGCAGGATGCAAAAGAAACAGACAAAAAAAATCAACCCCACTCAATTGTCTGACAACATCAACATCTGGTATGGAATTACCTTTTGTCTTCAAACTATTTTTATACTTTATTTGTATTTTTTTTTCTTATCAAACAAGAGTGCATATTATTGCTATGATCTTTCAGATGTGGCTGCCAGATAAAGCTATGAATTGAACAACTGTTATTATGGGAGAAAAGTTAGTTATAACTGGAAGAATCCAATAATATTTTAGTTCTATTGTCTCTTCTTCCGGATGGTCTCCAATGGCTCCTCTGGCTCTCCAAGCCAGAGTCCTACTTGACCATCCTGTTTCACTCATAGTATGTAGATACAGTGGCGCCTCGCTTAACGATGTTAATTGGTTCCAAAAAAACATCGCTATGGGAAAACATCGTTAAGCGAAACACCCTTTCCCATAGGAATGCATTGAAAACCGATTAATCCGTTCCAATGGGAATGGATTACCGTCCGTAAGCGAAAATCCCCATAGGAAACATCGCTAAGTGAAACAATGTTTCCCCCATCAGAAAGCTATTGAAATACATTGAAGCTGACTCAATGCATTTCAATGGCTTTCTGATGTCCGTTTTCACTCATTTTTAAGTGTCTTAAAATGTTTGAAACCTGTTTTAAATGCTTGGAATCGGTAGTGCACCTTGTGAAAAATGTGCAAACTTAATTTGGCTTTGTTCTGAGTCTTCGAATCTGTGTTTGGGATATATAAGCTAAAATACCATTAAAATCATTAAAAAGGAGGATTCCCTAGTAATTTTACACTAGAAGAGCACCTTAAATGACACATTCAACACCTCTTCATAAGCACACCAACTGAAGAAAGGTGTTAGGCATGTTCCATGATAGCTTTGAGAGAAAATTGTGCGCTGTAACACTACAAAACTGAAAGGAAGGCCAAGGCCAGGATGTAGTCTACTTTACTCTTAGTTGCATGATTTTATGCTAACCCAAACAGGTATGCTTGCAAAGCAGGTGCTTACTCACTGGTTCTCCTGGAATGGAAAGTCCATTTGGCCCCTGTGGTCCTGGTGGGCCTTGAGGTCCTTGAGGTCCTACATCTCCACGAGGACCAATGGGTCCCTTGAAGTAGAAAGAGAGACAACTTAACTTGTCTTGTCGGCCTATCATCCAAAGCAGTGTATTAAAGAACAAGAGATGGATTTATGTCATTTATCCTCACATAGTGATGGTCTTTACAAAGTGATCAAAGAGTAGACTCTGTCTAGAGGGGCGGGGTATAAATCGAATAATAAATAAAATAAAATAAAAATCATCTGACTAGCCTACAAACAAAGGGGGTTCATTATGTTTGTTTGTCTTATTTATAGGCTGCCTTTCTCCTGATATGGGGACTCAAGGTGGTTAACAGTGTTAAAAAAGTAGAATTAAAAACACAATAAACTATACATTAAAATAATTAAACTATAATACCAATTAAAATATACTGAATGATTAAAAACATTTAAACTTTTTTTAAAAAACTCAATTAAAAAACAGCATTCAGGGACTTATGATTGTTTAAAGCCTGCCTAAAACGGTAGGTCTCCAGCTATCAGCAGAAGGATAAAAATGGAAGGAGGCCAACCCGACCTCCTGAGGGAGAGAATTCAATGACTTGGGAGCTGCCATAGAGAAGGCTGTCTCTCCTGTCCTCACCAACTGTGCCTGCACTGGTAATGGGACCGGGAGGAGGGCCTCCTCTGATGATCTTAAGAACCACAAAGGCTCATTCCACTACACTTTGATTTTCTGGGTTTTTGGTTTTATATATATATTCAGCATAAATGAAACAAATTGCTGCCTTTGTGACAATCCCATCACTTTAGAAATGGATTGTGTAAAACCAGTTTAAAGGTAGAATAAATGAGAACATGCTATTTTGAACTGAGTCAAAAAGAATCAATGTTACTGCTGTTGTTATTATCTGAGGTAACTAATAACTCCTTTATCTTCTATGGAATTAATTAATCAGTCCCCAAATTCCTCCATGGGATCTATGTAAATTAATCTTTAATACATGGCCCCTTCTTGGCCCTGAAGCTCCTCAGAGCCAGGGATCATACATAGCCAGTCTAAAAGTGGGTTTTCTGTGGAGAAGGTCAGGCAGAAATTAGAAAAAAAGTGACCAGTGGCCAAAATAGATAGATCAACAAGTGCTCCACCACCTGAGGCAACTATCTCTCACCAGCTAATGGCTGTATTGTACTACAGCCTTGGTGTCCCTTAGGCGGATACTCACCGGAGGTCCATTTATTCCTCTATCACCCCTTGGGCCCTTAGAACCTGGTGCTCCCTAAAACAAAAACAACAAAACACTGTGTATAAATGATAGATATAGATATTAGGCATCATTAGGCAACAACATCCAAAACTTTATAAATTAGATATACATAAAAAGATTATTTCCCACCATTAGCTGGAAGGCCAAGGTGAAGACCCACCCAGTGCAAGCACAAGGAATGGCAGTGTACCTGTGCATGAACGAAGGGGTCTGGTCTGGTCTGAGAAAAACAAGCAGCAAGACTAAAAGGACAATGACTGGATGAAGTCCAGATGTGTGCACAGAAGATCAACTTTCAGGTGCTTAGATGTGAAAGGCGATATTCTTGCACATCAAGTTCTCTGGCCAGACTCTTGTAACCTTTTGAATTGCACCTAGAAAAGCCAAATCTTCCTCCCAGCCGCACCACCACCAACATTACTGTTAGAGACAGGAATGCTGATATTGTGGTAGGAATGTGCTCGGCAGTAACAGCATCAGGGACGATAAGCAACAATCTTAATTCCCACAACCACATACACAGTGTGTGGAACTAAGGAGACCTTTGCTAATTGTATTTAGTACAGTGAAGAACGGATACCTAGTGTGGTGTAGTAGCTAGAGTGATGGATTAGGACTCAAGAAATGTCGGTTTGAAACCCTGCTCAGCCATGGAAATTCACTGGGGGTGTAGAACTGGTAAAACTATCTCATTAAGATCTATTAGGAACTCTATAAGTCAGTTAACGACGGCACATAACAGTAAACAATATTTGCCTATAGATTCACGTAGACATGCATACTCTCTACGCACATGTAACACTTTGAAAAATAAAAATGTCCTATTAGGAACTCTATAAGTCAGTTAACTTGATGGCACATAACAACAGTAAACAATATTTGCCTATAGACTCACATAGACATGCATACTCTCTACACACATGTAACACTTTGAAAAATAAAAATGTTAATGATGGTGTAAGAGAATCTACAGCCATTTTGCAACACACCGTTTAATATCACCATCCCACTTTTTAAAATCCCACTTTGAACCAGATGCACTTCTCCAGTACATTCACTTTTTCTCTCTCTTTTCCCATCCTTTAACTGCCTTCTAGGAGGTAAAATAAAATCAACTGAAAGTATATCTACCTGATCTAATGAATTTTACCCTTTTCATCGATGTGACTAGGAGTAAGAAACGTTATTAAATATGGCAATAAAGAAAATATTTCCCCTTGCAATAAGTTCCTCAAGCTTTTCCCACTTCACCTAACTCTTCTGGTTGTTGGTGTTTTTCCCCTGTTTGTGCGACTGAAAATGTGTTATCATATCAATACATGCACAGCCCAAACACCATGGAAGATTGATTCACGTCATTAAGAACAATCTTCTCAGACCCATTCATGGCTTAAGAACAATTATAGAAAATCAGTAATTAATTGTTGTGACTATATTAACTTTACTTGGCTCCAGACAGCAGTGCAAAAAGAGAAATGCTTGCTTTCAACTATCATTCACTCCTGGTGCTATAAAGACCTCATGGCCTTCCCCCACCCCTACCCCCACCTACCACTCAGCCTGATAAATAGTTCTGGAGAACTTGAAAATGTACACAGTTCTGTGGTGTTTTGGCCAGTCCTAAATTGGGGATTCAATTTCCTCTTGTGCCCCCTGAGAGAGGAGCCCATTTAAGTAGCTTTGGGCAAGCTGTACAGTCCCTGAAAGCCCCCAGAAGAAGAGGAGGGTAAACCACTTCTGAGTACTCTCTACTTAGAAAACATTGATAAGGGCCACCAAAGGTCAGAACTGACTCAACAATTCACAAGTATTATTATTATTTATAAAATTACTGCTGAAATGTGAATTTTGTTGTCTTCTTTCTCATGGATCAGAATGATTATTTTTGTTCTTCAATATAGCTATGTGACTGATAACCACCATTTATCAATGTCTACTTACAGAAGGCCCTGGAGGTCCTGGGGGTCCCACACTGTCCTGGGTACATGTGCAAGCATTTGGCAACGATGGGCACTTCGCTTCATCCCTCTGAAAATTGAAGCAGTTATTTGTTGTTAAGAAGGGAAAATAGCTGGTCACATTGGTGTTTATGCCATACTATAAATAGTTTTAAGAACAAATCTGATTCTGAATTCTAATAAAAACTCAGTATCTGTGATTTAACATGTTCTAGCCCATGCTTAAGAGGCAGAGAATGAAAGAAAATACTGGGACTCAGGCATGCCTTGAAACCATGATGATGCAAATCATGGAAGCCCGGTTGCTTAATCCTAAAATTCAAGGACAGAATGTGATTATTCAGCAAGGGCAAATATACTTTTTTGCATCTGTTTGGTGGGCACTTTTCACTATTTTCACATATGCTCAGATTTGTCATAAAAACTCTATTCCGTGGCTAAATGTTACCAAGCCAATTAAACCCTGGATTTGGGGTAAAACTGACTTTTTAAAAAAATGTCTCTTTTGAAAATGCAACATCCCTACCTATCACCTTATTAAGATATGCTGGAAATACTGTGTATCTTTAAGGGATAAAACTGAAGTGAAATATAAGAAGACACAGACTGCCTGTCACTAAGTTTCAGATAGCAAATTTTAGAATATGGGTCAAATAAACTGTCTGGGTTCCTGCTTTGCTAATCTCAGGATGATTCATATAGTCACACATGAAATTCCCAAAGAGGACCTTTTAAGCCTATTATTCCACAGTTCTCTCGACATGATTGGCTCAGACTGTTGATACAAGGCATTAAAATTATCAAGATGTTTCCTGTACATTTACCTTAGAAGGAATATCACAACATCTGTCTCGGCTAGTCCAAACAGCATTGCACACAATGTCAAAGTTTTGAATCTCCAACTGGAAAACAAAACACAAGTGTTTTTAATGTTATCTCTGTGAAATTTAAAGAAAATAATAATGTAGTGTAATGCTAGGCAAAAATCACACTTAACTAGTATGTAGATTTTCAGCCATGGCACTGGAAGTACTATTATACATAACATGGGGAGGGATTACTTAAGCAGTAGGTCAATTGCTCACTTTTCCTTAATTAGATAAATGTATATACTTGCTATATATGGAGGGCTTCAGATAGCAGGGATAGTTTTCCCAGCAAGAACATTTTGTGACTCAAGTGCTCTTATGACTGAGTCTCACTACTGTTGCTGCAGATACTCACACTAGCTGGATAGAAGTTTAACTTTTATTGTAGAATAAATGTGACAGGGATATCCTTGATATCGTTAAGAGGAACAGTCATTAATATTGAGAAATTCTGATAGAGACAGGAATTTGATCATAGCATTTTAACTTAACGAACTTTTCACAGCTGTAGCCAAAATCCTGTGGTGTAGTTAAACTCGCAGAAGGACAATGGCGTAACTCACAGTGGAAAATTGCAGTTAATTAACAATTTCCTGCTTGGACTCCTGGTCACGTGCTAAGCCACCTGGCTGGCTTGCAATGAGGAATGTAAGTGGTTATTCATCAATCTGCAGCAATTTGCCACTGAGTTATGCTATTGCACATAACTATATAAAATTTGGCCGGTTTTTGGATCACATGGTAACCTTGAATGAAATTCATCATTGATACTATGATTAGGTAAAGGTAAAGGTTAAGGTTGCCCTTGATATTTAGTCCACTCGTGTCCAACTCTAGGGCGTGGTGCTCATCTCCGTTTCCAAGCCATAGAGCAAGCGTTTTTTTTTTTTTGTCCAAAGACAGTTTCCCTGGTCACGTGGCCAGCATGACTAGACACGGAACGCCGTTACCTTCCCACCGAGGTGGTACCTATTTATCTACTCACATTTACATGCTTTCGAACTGCTAAGTTGGCAGGAGCTGGGACAAGTGGCAGGAGCTCACTCCGTTGCGTGGATTCGATCTTACGACTACTTGGTCTTCTGACCTTGCAGTACAGAGGCTACTGCGGTTTAACCTGCAGCGCCACCACGCCCTCAATACCATGATTAACTTATCTCAAATTAAATGTTTTCCCTTCATTAATTAATAGTGAACTGATTTTATGGCATAAAACTGATCTGACTGATATGTAGGTTAGTGTATATTATCAAAAGGCCCAAATCCTCTTGCCTAGTTATGTTAGGATAGGACAAATAGCATAACTTTTGGAGGCAAATTGCCCGAAGTTAAGAAATTACTGTAGATACTGAGTCTCAATATTCAGTGTGAAACTGATCATATTTACAGTGATTTCTTAACTTGAGGCAATTCGCCTCCACAAGTTACCACATTTGTGAAGCTACATAAGAGCATTTTGACAAAGAGGAGCAATTAATTGTCATTTTCATCTCATTTGCTCTACTTGACTGACATTAAACACTTGGATCACTGTGACGATTCTTAGCAACAACAGTTTGTCATCATGCAGGTGATTATTTTGAGTGACTCTCTTTGTTTCCATAAACATATAAGCATCCATTTATCATCTATGTGAAAAGTTCCTTAATAAAATTACTTACTGCTGCTGTCTTTCTGTCACCTTTCTGTAGTTTACCAAGTATTTCATAGCCATCAGTTGTGATATTTCCACCCTCATTAATTGGTTTTTCCATGATTTCATCACAATCAATATAAATCTTAGCACTTGTGGGTGTTATAACAATATGAACCTGTAGAAAAAGTATTTAAAAGAAATGTAGCTAAGAACTTTCTGAATGTTCTGTATATTTAGGAATGTTTTTCAGTTTAAAATGCAATTAAGTGCATTCACTGCCTTGAATGTAAAGCAACCGACACACATATGACATACATATATGCAAAAAAATTGATAATAAAAATTGCAGCTTCCTATACAACAACCTAAATCCAATATCAAGCTGGGACTGCAGTACCTGTGCAATTGACTTTTCTTCCACTCCCCTGTACCATGCAGCCCTTGGTACTGCTAGAAAAGCCACTACAAGAGCTGTAGTCTTTTCCCAATTCCACTCATGGAAAAGGTTCCATCAACTTTGGACCCTGGCCACATGACAGAGGCGTTTCTTCATCTATCTTTTAAAATGAAAAGCAGTTTTCCAGGATTTCTGAAGACTGGCACAAGAGAGAAGCTGCCTGACCAGTTCATCTTCTGTATTCTGTCCATGCAAAACAGCCTTTCTCTTTTAGCAATGAGAAAGACAAGAGAGCCATATTTTCCCTCCATTCCATGGGTGAGCAGTCAGAGACAGTTTTGAGCACAGAGAAGCAAAGAAAAGGGGAAAGGTCTTCCTCCTCATTGCAAGTCTTTGCTTGCAGCTTCAACCTCCTGTTGCAACTTTCTTTTTTTTTTTAAAAAAATGAAAGGTTGCAAGGGAGAATCCAAGAACTTCCTATCACGTGTAGCTTGGCTCATAATGGCAAGAATAAAAAACATCTGTTTCTATAAGAGCTCTTTGATGGGATTATAATTGCTGTATTACTAAGCCAATATTTTCCCCAACTGACTTGCCTAAGCGATCACTATAGCAATGCTACTCAAGGTCCAAAAAAGTTTGCCAAAGCAAATTTTCCACAAATAGCCAAGATTAAGTTTGCTGTTTTTTGCTGAATGAGTCCATAACTTATTGAATGAGCACCACAAACTTATTTGATACTTTGGCAGGATTCAGTACAATTCTGGAGAAAGTTTGGCATATTCTTTATATGGGACGGTTTCTTTCAAAAATAAAGATCACCTTTCCAAAACTGTTAAAGGTTTTTCCCTCTTTCCTTTGCTACAGCTGGGAGTCACTTATTCCTACACCACTACGCCAGCTGGGTATGATATGCATACCCTAAACTTTTAGGAACTGATATATATAACTTGGGAGATCCAAACTGAGTTTCCATGTAGCTTTACACCCCACATCAAGTTATCTCCTTCAAGCAGTTCTCACAGTGATCTTCCATCAATGATATCAATTAATAACTTCAAGCATGCAAAAGAACACACTTGTCCCTAAACGAAATGAATATGGAAGGCAATATATGCATATGCATCATAACATGCGTACTGAGCATAAACAAATGTCTCAACTGTGATGACATCTCTTCTGTATGTTCTGGTTTCCTCACATATTAGGTTATATGAGATTAAATCCAATGTCAATCCCAATTAGCACAGGCCCATTCAGATGAATGAGACATCCTAATTGCCACTTCCATTCCTTTCAGTGGGTGTACTCTTAGAGCTCGTCATATGTCATGCCTACAATGTATTTTCCCTGAAATTCCATTGCACTGTTGTCATATGGAGTGTGAGGCAGGTAACTCATTCCACAGCAACTCTAAATTCCGTGTTCAGTTGGACTAAATGCATTAACCAGACAATTAGAAACTTGATACAGAGATGCAGATCCATGTAGTGGGTACAATGTCTGGCCATCTCTAATGATGGGTCCCTTCTCTTTTGCTTTGAATTAATTACTCCAGTGAAGTATCAAATCCCATTCTTATACATTATAATCATCTATGGAATTTTAGCAAGTTCATGTTGCATTTATTAACCTCTGGCACCAACCTTATGTATGAAGGAGGACTCAGTGTAGACCCAATGAATGCCTTCTAGGCAAACAGAGATTGAACTGACATATTCTGAGGTATAACCAGATGTTACATTAATGTCATAAACACAGTGTGGGTGTTTTGCTTTAACTGATTTATAAATCGCCATGTCTGCCTACAACTACTAACAAAGATGAGATTTTGCTGTTTTGAAGAAAAAATACCATTCATAACCATTTTCCTATAATTGTTTTACCTTGTGGAAACTTCCGTAGAACAGTTTCCTTACTTCATCACCTTCAAATGTTACTGTCTGAATCTCTCCTCGGCTGTCTTTACTGAAAAATGACAGCACTCTGCTGGATGCTAATGGCGAAAAGATATCAGAAATGTGAATGATTGGTTACATGTAGTAGCAAAATAAAGTTTTTATCCTAGTCTTATGAATAGCAGAATTCTTTGAAACAGGTCAGAAACAGCAAAACATGGCCAATTGAAGTGATCTGAAATTGCAGACTGAGCAGAAAGTGCCGCTCCTGCACAAGAAACTGCTCATACACACAATGTAGAAAGCCACACCATTATTTGGGGGTAAAAAGGGCCACAACTTTATTTTGGTTCGAGCTATATGTATCGGGGCATTGGCCCCAGCACGAAAGGGAGGGAAGATCCACAACACTGGCTGACTGGATTGTGGGACAATCGATCTCTCCCAGCCTACTTGCTGTGAGAAAACCTGGAATGACTGCAATGTGGGGAAACTTCATGGCACAAGCTCCTATGTAACCATTCCTGTTAGCTGGGAGTGAAATGAGTGCCACAGCCCCTGAGCTTGCCATGCACACCTGCAGATTCGAGCATCATAATCTCTTGAGGAGATCTCCATCAGGGGAGATACACAAACACACAGACCCCTTTCTTTGACCCGTGGATTTGTCCTCATCATGAACTGCCCACAAAACTGAGGAAGGAAAAATGTAATCAAACAAAATGAACTCCTGGGTAGCTCAGTGCAGAGCCAGAGGTTGGGTGTTTGACTCCTCACTGTGCCTCCCTAGCAGAGACTGGACTCATTGATCCACAGGGTCCCTTTCAGCTCTGCAGTTCTAGATGTAACACACCTGAGGCCCTTTTGAATTAATATGGAACTTACAAAAGAGTTGACTGACTCAGGAGTGGCAACACAGGCATTTGTCTCACTGTTTGGCCTGCTGTGAAGATATGCTGGTTCACTCCTTTAGTGATCAGAATGTGTAACTACCAAAACGAACTAGCCCATCCCCAGAGCATTCCTACCCACACCTTTCTGGCTCCATATCAGGCAGGGGCTACTCTTTTTCAGGTTCATTTTGGTTCATTTCCAGCCTGTGTGATTGTTGGGATTAAACCGAATTAGATCTGCTATAAATTTCCCATCCAGTTTCAATTTCTCAGTATCATTAAGTTTAGCCACTTAATGACATTGGGAATACAAAGTTTTTTAAAGCCTCTTAAAGCAATGTTAATGCCTCTAGCCGCCTAGCGTGGACGAGTCACCCAGATAAATCAAATTTAAAAAAATGAGTTGCACTTTTTAGAAAACATAAGAAAAAATCGAAGACTTCCTCCCAGAAGGACAAGGAGACACTAGGAGGGCAACAAAGGGGATTTCCTTCCTTTCTTTTCTTAAGTGAAGTGAGCCAAACAAGGTTGTTTTAGATGTATTTGCCACATGGATGCAAAGATCCCACAAAATGGAATACCAGACCTCTGCACAACCTTAAGCAACCGTATTTAGTTGAGTCCAGGGTTCTCCCAACAAGCTTTCTAGCCAAGCCCTAAATCCCCACTGATTCAATTAGCCTATTCTAGTGCAACTTGCTTTGGCAAGCAACAGGATTTCAGCCAGTGTTTTTATTCTTATACCCTTTAAAACATTAACCTCAGATAACTACTACAAGATCTTTGTCCAAATTAGAACAGTCCTCTGTACCCTATGTTTTCAAGCCTCACATCAAAACACTGCCTGAATGATTTCATACAAGATTCCATCAACCAGGAACAGCTTAGGAATAGCTTAGGAATAGGCGTTCAAGCAACCACTGTGCAAATTGCACATAGCTAGGCAGATTAATCTGAAACTTTCTGATAAAATTATCCCTGGCTGATCCCTATGATTGATCACATTGGCAACACTTGTATTAAAATATCAGTTATTAGTATCAAGAATCGAGTTTTGAAATGGAAAAGCTAGAAAAGGAAAAATAGAAATGTAGCTTTAAATTTCCATTCGTATTTTCTTTTCACAGCTGAGAAAAATCATTCTTACGGTCAAGAACAACTCCAACTTGTGGTTTGTAATCTCGATCTGTTATCTGCCAAATTGCAAATGGTTCAGTAGGGGTTTCCGGGAGAAGACGGAATAAAAATATGATTGTGTAAGACCTTGGTAACCCATCTGGATGAATCTCCCTATTAAGGAAAAAAAATAAGGAAAACATAATTGTCATCAAAAATGCAAGAAAAGGGTTAAAAATTTTAAACAGAGAAAATACTGTAGGAAATACTAGTGTATTAATTAACTGGTCAATTACATTCATAGCCAGCACATAAAATGGTGATTCATTCAAGATCAAGAATAGAGAAATCTTCCTTCTATAGCTTAAGGCGGCCACTGTACGGATGGATACTCAAAAGAAGTCCCAAAGGGCTTTGCTTTCTATTTGAGAAATACATCTTTTTACAAGAAAGTGAAGACAAGCTAAATCCTCCATGCTCTTCCATTTATCTACCTGGCTATTATTCCATCCTACTCAACTGAAAAACATCATGAAGCATTAGAGAAGTACATGCAATTTCATTTCTAACTCTTTTGCTAGAAATATATTGCATTCTAAAATGTCAGTGACTATTTGATATAGAATATAAATAAGTATGATATAGACACAGATATATAGATACAGGAAGACAAGAGGGCCTGGCATGCCCTGGTCCATGGGGTCACAAAGAGTCAAACTACAGTACTACACAACAACATATAAATACAGACACACACAATTGTTCCTTCTCTAATAGGGAACTAGGACAGCCTCTCTGAAGAATAGGACAGGAGAAGAAGAGTAACCATCAAGTTCATTAGCTAAAGGAAATGACTCTTTGAACTACTACCTGCAAAGAAGAGAGGAAGCACTGATCCGAAAGGATTACGAAAAAGCCTTGTGGTCCTCAAGGTTACACGAAGGCAAGAGTAGGCAATACCTTTATTAGACCACTTAAAAGTCAAGCACACAGTGAGTTCCATAGATAAAATTCCACTTCTTCAGGTTTATGCAGCAATATTTTATGGGCAGTGCAGAAAAAATTGTACATAAGGGTCAAAAAACATTGGATGACTGTGCCAGGTCTAACTGAGGTGAGTTCAAAGGAAAATTGCAAAAGAGTGGGGTTGAGGGTAGGGTGTCAAACCCCACCTCTGGAAGCATGGTCTGAGTTTTCCAGCCAGTTCTTCTAGCAAAGGCCTGCCAATGACTCTGTAATCACCCCAGACACAGAGACAAACCCATATATTGCCTGCTATTGAAACATAAAAGATCACACTTCTGAAAGAAATGTGCCAAGTGCAGTAACTGAATGGAGGGGGAAAGGAAATAGCAGCAGAAACCTTATAAGGAAACTAGCTTGTAGAAACGGGCTTGTCACATCTTTGGTAAAGCAAATAAAGCATACAATCAATGAACAGATACAACTTTCTTATATCACTGGCTGCTCTAACCCAGTATGAGTACACAATAGTACTTAAGAGTCTCCTTTGTACTAAGCTTGTCCTTTAACATTTATGGGTCCTCTGCAATATTATGCCTCTGTCTTAGCAATGTATAAGATTTTGGTACATCTGAGTTGGAATTTGGTATGCTGAACGTGGAAATCTCCAAACAATGCGGAGTGGAGTTTTGTTATTCCAGTGCCCTTAACAATCCTTCTTTTATTGTCATGTAATAAGCTGAGCCAGGATGAAATGTAATGGAGAAACATTTTGTATGCACTTCACAAAATTGTGTGCTAATTCCCTCGAGATATGGCAAAATGCCCCTTTCTGGATCACTATCACTTCATTACTTTATCTAAAGCAATGCTGTTTCTTTAACTCTTCAAAGAAAACTTTTCTTTTGACTGTTTCTTTGACTGTGACATTTCATTGCCCCACAAAGATCTCAACTCCCAGAAAGCTAAAACAATGTACCTACTTCGGAACAGTATTGAGGGTAAACCTGTTCC